AAGGTGGTGTCTATTTACTTGTGACCACGCTGTGTATATGTGATAGATGATATATGTTAACGTAATCAATAAGTTTGATGAATTCAATGTACTTAGGCCCGAATTTGCGTAACACAATATCGATAGACTTAACGGTTATACAAACACATCCTGACAAGTCTGTCAATTTTCGTTGAATCTCTACGAAAAGTATCGAACGTATCAAGATACCCGATACCGCCTTTTAGCCTCATCTCAGAAAACGACAAGGTCTTTGAATTCAGGATCATGTGATATGAATGGCCCATGCCCCAGTTCTAGGACAAATTAACAGAAACAATCCGCAAGGGACCGACATCCAATGGTTTACGTGAATAGGCTATCAAAAGAAGTCATTATTTTTGGAAGACTGTAATGGATAATGAATTTAATGTGATTCATATTATTACGGGAACTTGTCTAATGCTAGTGAAGGTGAGGATAAAATAGAAATTCAAGCTTAGAATCAGAGAAATCATATGAACTTGACAATCGAAATGTTCTGTCACAGAGTAGCTTTGGTATAATTTTTAACACATCAATTGATATAAAATAGGGATGGAGGCCCCGCAGGCCAATTTTACTTCAAGTTCGTGAAAACTACCTCTGTCGTTGTTGTTTATTATTAAGCACAAAGCTATAAAAGGCTATTGAAACCCGGATTCTAGCAGTATGAGTCCGCAAACGTACCACTGTGCCACTGGGGGCAACCACCTTTGTTATTTCCAAAACACTCTGAAGACTTGTTTCTTCCAAATGAACATTTGACGTCAGGTTTGGGAGTGTATTAAGCTTTACGTCATCTTAGAAACATTTTGTCTTACAGGTTTACGATTTGATAATTTTTGCAAAGCTTGGATTTCTGATGAACAAAATTCTCCAATTTTAGATATTTATATAATGCTTCTCAAAGAGATTTTACGAGAGGAAGATGTCAAATATACAATGTTTGAACCACGAGATCTACTTGACTGTGTAAATATAAATTTATACTTATTGGACAACATCACTTGGCCAGAAATTCTTAGAATATATCTTCAATGTGATAGAGAATATTACTATGCCCTGAATATTTCATAAAACTGTGAATAATCGTTCATCATTATTCCAAACAAGCTTAAAACATTGCAGTTTTTGTGTGATCAGTTTCTTTCAACTTTATCACACTAGGAAATTACAAATGAAGGACTTGTTAGACACGTTGATCATTGCAGACTTCGCCATAAACTTGATAATACGCTACGCTGTGGAAACTGCCCTTCGGTAATTCATCTTGCATGTATTGATCCCCCTTTGGAAGAAGTTCCAACAGAAGAATGGGCATGCGACATCTACAAAAACAATTAGGTAAGTCTAAATGAAAGTTAGATTTTCATATATGTTACTTTTTAAGTGACTAATATCAAGAAAAGATATACGTGGCCAGTGTTTAAGTCAAAATACCTTCATTGTAAATGCCTTAATGAAGGTACACATACAAGTTGTTCAACCGAAACGTTGACTAAATACGCTATATATCTTTCACAATGCGATATTTATCACTTCTTTGTCCTTTGGGATTTTATTACAATTTATAATTGTGTATTTTCGGTATTCGTGAAATTTTGTTTAATTTCAAGTTTAGCTACATTTACTTCAGAACCGATATTTTTATTTGAATATTGCAATTTGTAAAGAAGTATATTTTTAAAATCACTGTAACGATTA